CTATTTCTACCAGAATTATTCTTCATCAAATTGTAAATGTAGTGGGAAAAAAATTTTACTGCTTTATGAATTCATGTTTATTTATACATTATTGATTTCAATTTAGACTGTGACAAACCTTCATAAACAGTTTAATGAACATCATTTGATAGTGATATGCATTTTTGTAAAGTTATTTGAATTGTAGCTCTCCTTATATAACATAATATATAATATGTGCTAAATAATTTGAATATACAACAGAATATATTTAATATTCCAATAACTTAAAAAAATATGGCTGAACTCAAGATAATGAGCAATTCTGATATTTCATTTTAGTACTTGTACAAGTTCCATTGACTGATTCATATCCATTATATGGAATTAATCACTGATAGTAGTGCTATGCATGTAGTTGCCTTTGCTTACACTTCATGAATTATATTATGCCAAAATGTCATATTAACAAGATTAAATAACAATTATGTTTACTATTAACTTAAATATTAAATTTTTAAAAATTACATATATACTTGTAATAACTAATATTTAAAATATATTACTTCCATATATATTTCAATTTTAAAATAACTCATACTCATAGGAAAAAGAATTTGCTATATTGTTACACAAAATACCTTATTGCAAAAATAAACCTGATTGATATTAAACTTTTGTATTAAAAATATTCCTACTACAGGGATAAAGGAAGAGTCACTAACTTTTAAACTAACAAATCATTGACAAAGGAAATGTGAGGTGCACTTTACTAAGATTTTAAAAAGATAGCTATCATAAAGCAAATTTTCTTAAAGAAAATACTATTCGATACTGTAACATGATGGAATGTGTAAAGTGAATCATTTACTAATGACAGAACACTTATAGTATAACCTTTAATCCACAGGAGAAGATTAGCTTCCCTTTGACTTTCTAGGCTTATGTAGGCTATTTAGAAATGTGAACAATTTAGAGCTGGAAGAGAAGTCCTATGCTTTTACTAAATATGGTGCCCACTATTATATAGAGATTTGCATAAAGAGATCAAAATGATGAGGTGATTTTGCGTAGACTCAAAACTTCAATCATGATATCAATCAGGAACTCAAATCATGCCATCTGTAGGTGGTCTCAATAATGAGATCCTTTTTGCCTAGAAGGAAGGAAAAAAATCAGCAGGCTAGCTCTTTGCAAAATTAGGGGAAATTTTGCATGCAAGGACAGTGTCTCCAATCATGAAGTTACCTTTTATTGTCATGTCTCTCAAATAATTTGCTTCTTTATGCATGAAAATAGATGTTTTGAATAAACTGAGTTTATTTTCAATGTCATTTCCACCTTATTTGCCTAAATATATGAAATGTGTATAGAATAGTTCAAATAATACACACCTCTCAACTGGTAAATCTAATTTTGTTTAGCAAATAAATTTAAAATTGGACATGTTTTTAAACAGGTATATAGAAAGGAGCTAAACTGTCCATCTTCTTCACCTTTCTTCTGTGATACTCAGTCAGCAGGAAGCATCTGAGGAACTGATCATCAGAGACTGAGCAAGAAGCAGCTTACATCATGGTACAGGATAAGTCAGGTGTGAGGAAAATACAATCATGAGACATAGCATCATGAGATCAACTGGAAGATCAATGAGAAATTCACTAGAACAGTTTCCAAAAGGATGTAAAATATTCAAATCCAAAATAGTTCTAAGTGAACATGATAGAAGGGGTTCTTAAAGGATGTCCAGAGGATGAAGCAAAGGACAGATTATGACTCACCATATCAGTGTGGTTCTTTTGCAACTACAGAGAGTGCTTTGAAATATTGATACATCTCTCCAGCCGTGTAACAGTTATAATCAAAAAAAAAGAAATTAAGAATTCAGCATACATATTTTTCCTCATAAGGTAGATTTGTTTTTATTATTTTATTAATTGTGTGCTTGTTTCTGAGTGGCTGAACCACCAATAAAGGCCAGAAGAGAGTCTCAGATCCCTTTTAACAACAGTTGTAGGTGACTTTTGGAGCAAGTGCTCAAAAATTAGCATTTTTATTTATGTTGTGTTACTTGGAGGAATTATAAAGGCAATTCAAATGCCATAGTGTTTTTAAGATTAGAAAAACTCCTATTGAATATAACAGTATTGGTTAAAGGTTAATAATACTAAAGCATCGGTGAAAACAAAATTCAAAATCATTTGAAAACTACTTCTAAAAGATAGTTTCAATAAAAAATCCTGAAGAAAATAAACATTTATTTCATTGAGTATAATTTGTATAAAGTAGAAATAGCAGTTATGGGTAATTATAAAAGAAGAATCAAGAAAAGACCAAGACATTGGTATGAGGTCTTGAAAACAATTGCTAAAATATCTTTGTTACTTATCTTGTTCCTATAAAGAATGAAGAGGAAGAAGTCATACAAAACAACCAGAATATTCAGTGGAGGCAGAAAAAAAGCTATGATGATGGAATGAACACAAAATGAACACTAACTTGACTCAAGTTATCTTCACACCAATAATTAAAAACAAAATTTAAAAGAGATTTAGGGGAAAAGTCTTTTTGTACTAGGATGATATTAATCAAACTACATTTCAAAATCTAATAGTCAAATTGTGAAATAGAAAGGTAAAGTTGTGCTGTTGAATTAATGCTGTACTTTTTCCTGATTTGTTCCTATAAGTAAATAAGCAATAATTAATATGTAAGAAACAACCACTTCTCTTAATGATGGAAACTAATGAGGACTATTTAGACATGTTGAAGACTGTACAATAGTACAATCATAATTTATTTAGGTTTTTATTCTTATCTCGTGTGCTGTATGTAGACTTAAACTATCAATTTGTTTGAAAATAGTCTCCTTGTAAACAGAGTCAACTCATTTGTTCCCACCCACCCAGATCCAAACAATCACAAAGAAATTATACTAGTTGCAGCATTGTTTTGCCTATTTGTTCAGGCTTCTTATTAACAAATCTGTCCCCTTTAATTATCTCATTTGTATTAATCTGTTCATTGCCAAGGCTGTGGTTTACAGGCATTGTTTCAGTGTTCAGGCATCCTTCTGCTTTGGTAGCCACATGGCATCTCCCTGACTCTGCCTACTGTCTCTCTATATCTTTTCTATCCTGACTATATTCTGCCCTGCCATAGGCCAAAACAGCTTTATTCATTAACAAACAAGAACAACACATATACAAAAAGGCATTCTACAATATCTCTGCTTTTCTATCTAAATAAAGCGTAAGCTTTGAACTTTAACATAGTATAATTACATCCATCAAAATAGCTGTCAAGTGAGAATTATAGTTACAACATTTAGTACATTTGGCAAATTAAGGAAAATACTCTATCATCTATCCTGTTTTTGTGAGTCTAAAGTTTTATATCCAATTTATCCTTTATCATAACTAAGGAAAACTATAGCTATAACTATCTGTCTTCAACTCTTCAAAGACCCAAAAAGGATATAATATTATTTAACTAAACAGGAAGTGCATTGTTAGCAACTTCCAAGACTCTACAAGAATTTACAGAGACATCTCACTGTCTGGACAGTCACCCAAAGTTCTTCTATAACATTACAGAATCCTTCTTCTGTCTACAGGCCCATGGTATCCAACAGATTTTCCATGAAGCAGGAAATTTGAAGATCTATTCTGCCTTACAATGGCACAGTTCATCTGTTTCTTTCTTCTATGTTCTGAAGAATATCTGGCAGTTTCTTCTGTGAAACAGGAACCCTGAAGGACCATCCCATCTTTTTGAAAGTTCAGCAGTCATTTTTCTGTGGGTCCTGCATGTCCAGTTCATACATCATGACATCAAGCCGTACAGGCAAAAGCAGTTTTTTGCTCAAATGGCAGCCCTGTCACATTGAAGGCAAATTCCATAACAAGTTTCTTCACAACCTCTCTGAAGTAATTGGTGCTGCCAGAAACAGACATGTCTTACTGTTAAGAAAAGTCTAAGTTCCTTTTTTTAAAAAAAACTGGTTTTATTGAGCTATACATTTTTCTCTGCTCCCTGCCACCCTCAACCTTCTCCAATGGCCCCCATGCTCCCAATTTATTCAGGAGATTTTATCTTTTTTTATTTTTCATATAGATTAGATCTATGTATGTCTCTCTTAAAGTACTCATTGTAAGTTCTTAAAACCTTTTAAATGCCATATTCTGGAGATTTTGAAGTGTTGAAGATTTTCTATTTAACTGAAATATATCTCTATATATCTATAAAACCTAATAACTTGAGGGTAAGTTTGGCTATGATAAATGACTATCTAATAATCTGTAATTTTTAATTATTCAATATGTTTTATTTTATTTTTTTCAGCCACCAATGGTACTTTATTCTGGAAACGCCTAGGTATTACAAAGTATTAACATCCTTCCTGTCATCCCCATGGCCCCTGCAAATCCAGAAAGACAAAAGACAAAGATGTCATGTATAAACACCTCTTACCTACTTTCTCTAAAGCCCTAAAAATGTCACTGTGTGTAAGCAAGGTTCTTGAAGGACTGGCCTTGTGTTCAGTGACTGCCAGTCCTTCCCAGGGGGCAAATGGCCAGCACTTCTGCTTCCATCTCAAAGATCCGTTTCTCCATCATTATACATTCCCCCACTTGACATCTTCTTAGCAATTTAATTGTTGGGTGCGTTTTTCATTTGGCAAAAATTCAGACTGGCTTTGCGTGGGATGTTTAGTGTCAGAAGCAGCAGTGTTGACGCTCGGCTCCAAGGGAGAAGAGAGAGCTGTGCATATTCCTGGAAGAGCACATGCTGGAGGCTGGAAGGGGCTGTGCAGTCAGCGCCACAACACCGCCTGCTTTCCAAGTCTGTGACTGCTGACCAGAATACAAACGCCCCAAAGACGAGCCCCCTGCTTCACTTGTCCAGAGGGTGTCAGAGTCGATATGCATGACCCCAATACATGGCACTCTATGTCATCCAGAAGATGGCTCACTAGGAGTATCATAGAAGACCAGGGTGTGCCCGAGACAGCATCACCTCTACCCAGAAGGGTAAGCCTTAAGGATCTTCACGTCATCCACAGGACGGTCCTGGGAGTTTGTTTCCACCATGCCCACTTGATTCACCATTCCTATACCCTGGCACACTCGGCCAAAAATGGTATGTTTGCCATTCAGCCACTGAGTGGGGGCGAGGGTCGCGAAGAACTGGCTGCCATTGGTGTCTGGCCCTGCATTGGCCATTGCAAGAATCCCAGCCCCAGTGAACTTCAGGTCTGGATGAAGTTCGTCTTCAAACTGTTTCCCATAGATGGATGCGCCACCGTGACCTGCCCCTGTTGGGTCACCGCCTTGGATCATGAAGTCCTTGATGATCCTGTGGAATTTGGTGCCATTGTAGTAGCCCCACCAAGCCAGCTCTGCAAAGTTCTTGCAGGTCTTTGGAGCATGCTTGCAGTACAGCTCCAACACAATGATCCCCATGCTAGTCTCCAGGTAGACGTTGGGCGGCTGCCAGGTGTCAGGGGGAATCGCTGCCATTCTGAGCAAAGAAAGTATCCTCTTAGCAATTGCTACTTCCTGCGGAGATCATAGGGGACCCATCCCAGGTACGCACACTTCCGGTTCCTGCCGATCAGCCGGTTTTGATGGTAGGCTTTATGGAGCTGGGACAAGGAAGATGAAGCCTCTCGAGGCTGGGAAGGGGCTTGCAAGATGAGCTACCCAGTACAGGGCCACAGACCTTCAATATGTTTTAAATGAGATATATAAATGCAATGTAGTAAACAAGAGTAGAAATATACATATAAAAATTGACTTTAAATTTGTATCAAAAGACCAAAGTCCATACCAAAATAGTATTCATTTCTATATCATGCCCCCCTTTAAATGAAAAGAAATATTAATAAACAATCATTTTGGGAATGTGGGTGTTATTTCTTCAAACTACCTCCTTATATTTACTGGGTAAAGTATTTTTAGGATTCACCGAGACCTCTTGGTGCTCTTATTTCATCAAAACACATTAGCCTGGAAGAAGTTCACAACTTCCCATTCTCTGTGGAAGCAAAAAAAAAAACCTCTCTTCTAAAGTAACATATCCTTAGATTGAAATATTGAAGTCAAGATACCTTTAAAATATGTATGTTGATTTAACTTAGCAACTTGTACAATGAAATGTCTCTCTGTACTTAGCTCATTCACAGTCAAAAAATTTAAAGAAAACTCCCTGGTCACTGTGCAGGGGAGGCTCTACCCTGCTAAGCTCTCTTGCCTCCTACCCCATCCGAACTTTCATCCAGATACCCCTTCCTTTATTCCTCCCTTTCCCCTGGGCCCATAAAATTACCCAGCTCAGCTGCCTTGTGTGCTGGGACTGGGCTGTAAGCGCAACCGGGCAGGAGGGAGTTCCTGTGTTTCAATAGCCTGCCTGCAGAAAGGTAGGCCTTCTGTCAGTCAGATCCCTGCCCAACAAGGGAACCTGACCGGGTATCAGAAGATCCAATAGAGAGCATTTGAAGGAAGAGATGGGCAGACGCCAAGGCAAGAATTCCTTCAACAATCTGAAAAACAACATGAAAACACCAGATCCCAGCAACTCTACAAAAGAAGAAATTGAATACCTTAATCCAGAAGAAGTGGAAAAAGGTGCCATTATGAAATTAGTAGAGTCCCTTAAACAGGATATGAATAACTCCTATAAAGAACTGGATGAGAAGTATAACAAAGTTTGAAGAAATGAGTAAAGAAATGGATGAGAAGTATAACAAAAAGATTGAAGAAATGAGTAAATCCGTAAACGATACCCTGGAAAACAAAGAAAAAAACAATAAAACAGGTAATGGAAACAGTTCAAGAATTGAAAACTGAAATGGAGGCAAAGAAGAAAACACAAACCGAGGGACGGCTGGATATGGAAAATCTAGGTAAATGAACAGAGACTACAGAGTCAAGCATAACCAATAGAATACAACAGATTCCGAAGATACCATAGAGAAAATAAACGCTCTGATAAAAGAAAACAGCAAATTCAACAAATTCTCTTCACAAAACATTCAAGAAATCTGGGACACAATAAAAAAGTCAAATCTAAGAATAATAGGGATTGAAGAAGAAGAATTGCAGATCAAAGGTCCAGAAAATATATTCAACAAAATAATAAAAGGAAACTTTCCCAACCTAAAGAACGATATTCCTATGAAGGTTCAAGAAGCATACAGAACACCGAAAAGACTTGATCAAAAAATAAATAAATAAATAAATCCCCTCGCCATAAAATATTCAAAACACAAAACATAGAGATTAAGGAAAGAATATTAAGAACTGCAAAGGAAAAAGGTCAAGTAACTTATAAAGGTAAACCTAACAGACTTACACCAGATTTCTCTATGGAAATCGTGAAAGCCAGAAGGTCCTGGATAGAGGTACTGCAGAAACTAAGAGACCATGGATGCAAAACCAGACTACTATACCCAGCTATAGTAGTGAGCTATAGATAGTGAGCTATCGTTCACTATCAACAGAGAAAACAAAATATTCCAGGATAAAACCAAATTGAAACAATTTGTAACCACAAATCCAGCCTTATAGAAAGTACTAGAAGGAAAATCGCAACCGAAGGAATTTAACATTGCCAACACTGACTACAATAACTGAGACATCTAGCGACCCTTCACAAGCACAACTCAAAGAAGGGAAACACCCAAACTCTGCTACACAAAAAAATAAATAAATAAAAAAAATAATCAGAGTCAACAACCATTGGTCATTAATATCACTTAATATTAATGGACTCAACTCACCTATAAAAAGGCACAGACTAAGAGATTGGATATGAAAACAGGATCCAACATTCTGCTGTTTACAAGAAACACACCTCAACCACAAAGACAAACATCTACTCAGAGTAAAGGGTTGGGAAAAGGTTTTTCAAGCAAAGGGACCTAAGAAACAAGCAGGTGTGGCCATTCTAATTTTCCAACAAAATTGACTTCAAACTAAAATCAATCAGAAGAGATGGAGACGGACATTTTATACTCATACCAGGAACAATCCATCAGGAGGAAGTCTCAATCCTGAATATCTATGCCCCTAATATAAAAGCACCCACTTACGTAAAAGAAAAACTGTTAGAACTCAAGGCAGTCATCAAACTACACACACTAATAGTAGGAGACTTCAACACACCTCTCTCACCAATGGACAGGTCAATCAGACAGAAACCCAACAGAGAAATAAGAGAATTACTAGAGGTAATGAATCAAATAGACTTAACAAATATCTATAGAACATTTCACCCAAATAGGAAAGAATATAACTTCTTCTCATCATCTCATGGAACCTACTTGAAAATTGACTACATACTCGGTATCAACGCAAATTTCCACAGATACAAAAAAAAAAAATATTAGTTACCAGCTGCGTCTTGTTGGATCACCATGGAATAAAGTTAGAATTCAACAACAATTCTAACCCCAGAAAGCCTACAAACGCATGGAAGCTGAACAGTCAACTACTGAATCACCCCTGGGTCAAGGAAGAAATAAAGAAAGAAATTAAAGTCTTCGTTGAATTTAATGAAAATAAAGACACAACATACTCAAACCTATGTGACACAATGAAAGCAGTGCTAAGAGGAAAGTTCATAGCAATAAGTGCCCAATTAATGAAAACGGAGAAAGCACACATTGGAGACTTAACAGCTCATCTGAAAGCTCTAAGAAAAAAAGAAGCAGACTCACCCAGGAGGAGTAGAAGACTGGAAATAATCAAACTGAGGGCTGAAATCAACAAAATAGAAACACAGAAAGCAATCCAAAGAATCAACAAAACAAAGAGTTGATTCTTGGATAAAATCAACAAGATTGACAAACCCCTAGCCAAACTAATCAAACGTCAGAGAGAGAACACTCAAATTAATAAGATAAGAAATGAAAAGGGGGACATAACCATAGACACAGAGGTAATTCAGAGAATCATTAGATCTTACTACAAAAGATTGCCACAAAGTTGGAAAATGTACAAGAAATGGACTTGTTTTTAGATAAGTACCATTTACCAAAGTTAAATCAAGACCAGGTGAACAATCTAAATAGACCTGTTAGTCGCGAAGAATTAGAAGCTGTTATCAAAAACCTCCCTACCAAAAAGCAAAAGCCAAGGACCAGATGGTTTCAATGCAGAATTCTACCAGAACTTCCAAGAAGTGCTAATACCTCTACTCCTTAATGTATTTCACAATATAGAAACAGAAGAGTTGTTGCCAATTTTTTTTATGAAGCTACAGTTACCCTGATACCAAAACCACATAAAGACACAACCAAGAAAGAGAATTACAGGCCGATCTCACTCATGAACATCAACGCAAAAATTCTCAACAAAATTCTGACAAATCAAATCCAAGAACACATTAAAAAATTATCCATTGTAATCAAGTAGGCTTCATTCCAAAGATGCAGGGCTGGTTCAACATACGCAAATCTATACATGTAATCCATCATATAAATAAACTGAAAGAAAAAAACCATATGATCATTTCATTGGATGCTGAAAAAGCATTTGACAAAATTCAACACCCCTTTATGATAAAGGTGTTAAAGAAATTGGGGATACAAGGATCATACCTAAATATAATAAACGCTATTTACAGCAAGCCAACAGCTAACATCAAACTGAATGGAGAGAAACTCAAAGCCATTCCACTAAAATCAGGAACACGACAAGGCTGTCCACTTTCACTATACCTCTTCAATATAGTACTTGAAGTTCTAGCAATAGCAATTAGATAACATAAGGGTATCAAGGGAATTCGAATTGGAAAGGAAGAAGTTAAACTCTCGTTATTTGCAGATGGTATGATAGTGTACATAAGCAACCCCAAAAACTTTACCAAAGAACTCCTACAGCTGATAAACAACTTTAGTAATGTGGCAGGGTACAAGATCAACTCCCAAAAATCAGTTGCTCTCCTATACACGAAGGATAAGGAAGCAGGGAGGGAAATCAGAGAAACTTCACCTTTCACAATAGCCACAAATAGCATAAAATATCTTGGGATAATTCTAAACAAGGAAGTGAAAGACCTATTTGACAAAAACTTTAAATCTTCCAAGAAATAAATTGAAGAGGACACCAGAAAATGGAAAGATCACCCTTGCTCTTGGATTGGGAAGATCAACATAGTAAAAATGGCAATTCTACCAAAAGTAATCTATAGATTCAATGCAATCCCCATCAAAATCCCATCAAACTTCTTCACAGACCTTGAGAGAACAATAATCAACTTTATATGGAAAAACAAAAAACCCAGGATAGCCAAAACAATCTTATGCAACAAAAGAACTTCTGGAGGCATTACCATCCCTGACTTCAAACTCTATTACACAGCTACAGTATTGAAAACAGCTTGGTATTGACATAAGAACATAGAAATCGACCTATGGAATTGAATAGAAGACCCAGATATTAACCCACAAACCTATGAATACCTGATTTTCGACAAGGGAGCTACAGGTATACAGTGGAAGAAGGATAGCATCTTTAACAAATGGTGCTGGCATAACTGGATGC